GAGTTGCTGGGTGTTGCTTTGTCATTTCTTTCTTTCTGAGACTTAACTTATCCAGTAACTTAGTATCCATGAGCCATATCCCAAGTCCCAATCCCAGATTTCTCAACATCTGTCAAATTTCTCTACCTGACTGTCTCACTGCTACATCATCTTCCTTTTAGCTCTGACCCTCTTCTGATTTTTCTACAAGTCACCGACATAACTATATCACAGTCCTGATCATTCTTTTTCTAGATTACTGAGTAATTGTTGACTCTGTTCTGCCTTGATACCACTGTCAGACAGCCACCAAGTCTTGCCGTTTCTGTTATTTCTTCCACTTGTCCAATCTTATATTACCCCCATTTAAGGTTTGTTATTCCTTCTCTGGGATTTTGCTTGCAGAGCTTCCCAGATATTAATAGTTTCTCTGTGTATAGTTGTGCATCTTCACATCACTTTGTACTTGTCACCTGAAACAGCTCAGTTTTCTGAGCTTGCATTTTATCTTCTAATCCAGGGTTCTCGAATCATAGTGTGCATCAAAATCACCTGGAGGGCTCATCAAAGCATAGATTGCTCTCAGGGTGGGTGCTGAGAATTTGCCTTTCTCACAAGTTCCTAGTGGTGCTGCTGCTACTGGTGGTGGTCAGGAACCACACTTTGAGAACCACTGTTCCATTTAATGGTGATTCATTCAGGAGTTGACCAGGGCAGAGGGTGGATTCAGTGTGAGACAAGCCTGGAATTGGAGCTGTTTAAGTGTCCCCAGCTGTTGAACTAGTGTACTGATTGTACCATGTTGAAGAAGAGTCAGATTCCAGAAATATTTAGATGATAAAATTGGCAGGACTTGATTACTGACTGACTGTCAGCAGTGAGCAGTGTTGGGGTGAGATAGTCTAAGACAAATCTCAAGTTTGTAGCATTGGAGGCTGGGCTGAAATTGATATTATTAACTGAGAGGGGGGAAAAATTGTCACTCACTATGCCAGTTAGTTTATATGAATTAGAAAGGGAGCCAGTGTGGGGGAAGATGAGTTTGGTGTTGGGTCATCCAGAGGCTGAAGCAGTGCTGGGGTGAGGGGCGAGTGGAGGTGTGCGGAATCACTGAGGCATTGGAAGGTGAGAGGATATTCACTGAGGGTTCAGGTAACCAAGTTTGATAGGAAAGTCCAAGGAGTGAATAGAGGCTCTAAACCAGATGCTAGAACTTTCTGGGAAGGAAGAGTTGGGGCCATCAGGGAGGGGAAGGAGTGGCTCTTGAAAAACCATGAGGCCTGTTACCGATTGTCCTGGAGGTATACAGCACATTGGCTCATGCCTGTAATCCTAGCACTCTGGGAGGCCGAAGCAGGAGGGTTGCTTGAGTTCAGGAGTTCAAGACCAGCCTCAGCAAGAGCAAGACCCCCTCTCTACTAAAAATAGAAAAATTAGCCAGGCGTGGTGGTGCACACCTGTAGTCTCATCTACTCGGGAGGCTGAGACAGGAGGATCGCTTGATCCCAGGGGTTTGAGGTTGCTATGAGCTATGATGACACCACTGCACTTTAGCCCGGGCAACAGAGCAAGATTCTGTTTCAAAAAAAGATAAGAGGAAAAAAAAAAAAGGTAAGCTCCTAAAAGAGCTACCCAGCAGCAACAATCTAATGTCAGAAGCATTTTCTCCTAGGAAGACCTGTCAGGAAGCAGAATGGACTGCCCCAGGTCGCTCTGAGTTCCCTCCGCTGGACGCTCTTGAGCACAGGCAGCACAGCCCCTTATTCAAGCATGCGATGGGGGTTGGATCAGACAGGCTTATCAGGGCAAACCATGAATCAGTTATTGTTACGTGGGAGTGACATTTGGGGCAGAGTGAGCACTTGTGGGACAGATGGATTGGCTGGGACATACAGCAGCCAAGTGGGAGCTGGTGGGTCCTGAGAGGCCACTTGAGGCTAATTGTTCACTTTTAGGTGCAACAATGAAAGACTGAAAGTATTTGCAGAATCAAAGAAATTTTGCTGTAGGTAGTTTAAATAATGAGAGACTTTTTCCCAGGGTTTTCAAAAATATTAAATCATGTTTTATGATAAATTTTGTGTCCTAATGGAAGCTCCTCTGGTAGAGAAGTTCCAGATTTTTGGTTGTAGAAATAGTCATGTAGTGATGTAATATTCAGTTCTTTCACCTTTCTCATTACTGACCCTCACAGGACCCTCCTTTAGGCCCTCATTACTGTCCCCTCTGCCCCACACTCTGGCCTGGAGCCAGAGGATTGGCTCTGGGGCAGCAGGAACCTGTTGTTTTAGGAGGTGGTAACGTTCGAGGACGTGGCTATGCACTTCACCCAGACAGAATGGGCTGGCCTTTCTCCCGCCCAGAGGGCCCTGTACAGAAGTGTGATGCTGGAGAATTATGAGAACTTGACTGTTGTGGGTAAGACCATTTTCCTTCTGCAACTCAGATCTCTACTTTCTTGTTTCCTTGCTTTTATAGGCTGGGGGTGTGGTGTGGAGAAGGAGGGGTTGTCTTTGATATCCTTCACTGAGTGGCTCCAGGGCTGAGGCTCAATAACCAACTTCAGAGATTGCAGGATAGGGAGAGGTCTTGGGTCAGTTTGGTCCCAATGAAGGGACTTGCTGTCTCCTGGTAAGAGTGTGACCCCTTCCCTGTGTTTGTACATGCCTTACAGAATCTCACTAACTTACCTACCCTTAAGTGGTTTTTTTAGGTAGAGGTAACAAATGCTCAGTTTCCTATTGATGAAAAGCTCCTTGGCCTTCCCCAGTCCTGAGCCATCTTCTGTGGGTCTTACGCTTTCCGAGACTCCTGGGGTTTTCCTTCTTTTGATACAGCAGATACAGGGCTGAGAGGTTGCCATTTTCTTCCCCTTTTCAGAATACCCAGTTCCCAAACCTGCGCTGATCTCATTTCTGGAGGGAGGGGATCTGCCTTGGGGCCTGGAGGCACAGGATGAGCCCCTTACAGAGAGGACCAGGGACATCTATAAAGGTAAGTGAGTCAGGTTTAGAACCAACAAGTGTAGAGTTTTATGGAGCACTGTATTTTTTTTTTTTTTTTTTTTGGTTCTGGAGACAGAGTCTTGCCCTGTTGCCCAGGGTGGAGTATAGTGGCACAATCATAGCTCACTGCAACCTGGAACTCCTGGGCTCTAATGATTCTCCTGTCTTAGCTTCCCAAGTAGCTAGGACTACAGGTGTGTGCCCATGCTTGGCTAATTTTTAAATATTTTGTAGAGATGGGGGTCTCACTGTGTTACCCATGCTGGTCTCAAACTCCTGGCCTCAAGTGATCCTCTCGCCTTGGCCTCCAGAAGTGCTGGATTACAGGCATGAGCCACTATGCCCGGCCCTGGAGCACTGTATTTTAAAAAGAACCATACTGGGCAGGATTGAAATATAATAGATGATTTCTCCTGATAGGTAAAATGTGAAACTTTCCCACCAATCTTAACTCTTATCAACATGTAACCACTCAGTTCATCTCTTCTATAATTCTTACAATCCATTCCTCCTTTGTGAATTTCAACATTGTCTACCTCAGTGGGCCTCCTTCCTTGGATGGGACAGATTTATTCAAGAGCAGTTTTTGAGAGCTTACTGTTTGCCAAGCTTTGTTTAAGAAGCTCTGGAGGATACAAGTTATGGAGACAGATGTAAAAAGCTAAAAGGAAAATATATTGAGTGCTGTTGGGAATGGGAAGGAGAGTGTTTAGGTAAAATTAACCAGATCTTACCAAGATTGGCCGTAAAAGAGGTTATTTGAGTTAGATAACACTGGGAAGTCATGACATGGGAGGAGCTTTTATAATTCATACGAATGCAGAGCTGAGCACAGGGTCTGAGGTGAGTGGATGGCTGGAGCAGGCCAGTGAGAAGGTGGTGGACAGTCCAAGATAAAGGTCGAGTCTGAAAGGGTACTCTAC